AGATGACATCAAGTTTCTAAACCGCACTTTTGATCCAAGTAATACTAAATACTGCATTTATTCGCCACACCTTATTTACCTGCGATATATTATGTTTGAAGAAATTAATTTCGATCAAAAGTCAAGATAATTATTAAACATGCCAGATTGTTACCAACATTTTTTGTTAATGTCAAGTGTAGTTAGAAAAACACAGAAATGCCAATTTATGTTGATAATATAATATATTGAAAATAACTGGAAGTTTTCCTTTGTAGAAATGTTACAGCAAAAGTAATTGAATACATCAGCAAGATGCTTTTAGTAGTATTTGCTTAATATTCAACAAACATGGTTAATTTATATAAGAATTATCTGTTAGTTGGTTCAAAGAAATATTGTTTAACATTTGTGGTTATTTATATATATTGGAGTTCACCAGGAGGGACATTCAAAATGTTAAATTAAAACAGAAAAAAAATATGTTCAAAAGAAAAAAGACAAACTATAACCAACATAACAGAACAAATTAAGCAACCAAGATCCTACCAAAATAAACGAGTGGTAAATCGTGTGTACTATTAGGATTGCCGGTTCCTGGCACTCTCGTTTTCCGCAAGACAAACAAACATCTGTTAATCAGTATAATTCGGTAATAATTTTAATTCGGCGACAAGTAATGAACGAGTACAGAATGATGACATACCCATAGACATCACGAGCATATGTCCTGTTGATTCATTATTATTCTTTGAATACTAATATTCGTGGATTTCGTGGTTTAATATTAACCCCGAATTTAAACGTTCAACGAAGTACAAATTTTCTATCGGCTTGCATGAAGACTAATCAAAACGACGAAATCCAATATCAACGAAAATACAATGTTCCTTCAATCCACAAAAATTGGTACCCACGAAAAAAAATAAATCCACAGTATTTCGTATCGATTAACAAATTAAAGTCACGATGGTGATGATGCATCTTTCAAAGAAAGAATTTCAACTTTTCATCATTTAAAACCTTTGGTTTAGTAGCTCCCTTGTAAACAGCCACCTTATATTGATAGAATTATGAAAGGAAATATCAGCTCTTGAATGTCTTATCAACATTGAATTGTTTCTAGATAAAACAGAAACTTCATAATTGGGAAATTGAAGTCATGTCCTTTTGCGTACAGTAATAATCTCAGTCCACTCTCACGGTCGATTTTAGGCATGAGTGAAGATGTGCAACAGACCCAATTGCAAATATAATACTATAGATAATGTTGTGGGATAAATGCAATCAACCTGTCATCTAATGTGGAATTTATTCATCATCGTTAGACGAAATGTAAGGTTAAAGAAAAACACTACTCTTTTCTCATTCTTCTTTATTGTTAAATGTCCCTTCTGCTTAACTCTTTTGTATACTGTGGATTCATTTATTTTCGTGGGTACCAATTTTCGTGGATTAAGGAAATCCTGTATTTTCGTGGGCATTTGATTTCGTGGTTTTTCCTGAGTCTGCATACAACCCAATAGTGATTTGTAAATCGTTGAATATTTAAATTCGTGGTTCACCTAAACCCACGAAATCCACGAAAATTGGTATCCCACGAATAATTATGATTCCACAGAATATTTGATGCATGGATACCAGAACACGCTTACCCTGTCGACGCACCCGGTAGCGGTCCTTTTTGAGTTCATGCGATTCTCTCAGTTTTGTTTGATACCTTGATTTGTCTCTCTTCGTAATGGATTTGATAGATTTGAACATCGGTAAACTACTGTCGTCTTATTCATTCAAATATAGAAACAGTGTTGGACTGTTTGTTTTAAAACCAATACCTCCTCCAAACATAACTATTATGAATGATAAAAATAAGTATTTTGTCGAAGGCATTTTTAAAGACAACAATCCTTCACAAGGTAGGATGTCACTTTTGTAAATAGAAATATCTAGAATGCAATAAGGCAAGAGTGTAGTTCGTAAAAGCTCAAACATCAGATAGCAATATTTTAATCTCTGATGAGATTAACAGTTTCCACTAATGACAGTATTTGGATTTTAATGACATTTTTTCAGGCTTCAAAAGAAAAAGTCCACGTCTTTGTTGTCTCGCAAATAATTTAAGATGAGAAATGAATATTTCAGTCCACAGCAACCAAACAATTTTTTATAACAACACCGTAAAACAATTTGAATGTTGGCAATTTATTTTTTTATGAAACGAAGTTGAACTCATTATTTTTCTCTGTTTTTTTTTTTTTAAGTAAAGGGCGAGTGTACCGGCGTGTTTATATATACTGTTGGATAAGATGAGGAAATTGTATTGTAAATCTTTGGAATATTTTATAGTTCACATCTGATCCATACAATCCCTAATTAGAGCACTTGCACATTAATGGTCCGGCCTTTTGTTGCTGGAAGAATAGTTATAGTACTTTTTATAGAGATTTCGTGTCCAGAGCAGCATTTAACAGACCCAGCAAAAAGTAAAGACACGTATGCAAGTTAAGTTTCCATTAGATTTTGTAAAGATCCAGAAATTCATCTTTGGTTGTAATTCAAAAGAAAGCAAAATATAAGGTAAAATTGATTGCCAAGCATTTTTATTAAAGTAAGAGTTGGTTAGATATTAGTTTTATTATCTCAGTGGGTTGTCTTTACCTTTTTCCTACATAAAGCCATTCATATAATGCGATCGATTTACAGAACATATTATATTTCTTGGGTATTGTCTGAACGGAGACTTAAGCAGTAAACACATAACGTTTCAAGTACATTCTCCAAATCAATTTTTCCCTACTTTCAATAACATAAATTTCTTTAAATGTTTTTTTAGTTTCCGGGACTGCTGTTTACCGATTTGTACTTTTTAAGTGTTTGTCAATGTTGACCTTTTCTGTCATTATTTCTAATTATGATATCTATAAACTAAAATATGATGATGTTTACTTTACAGGGAGGCGAAAGGTACCAAAGGGACATTCAAACTCATCAGTCGAAAATAATCTGACAACGCCATGGCTAAAAAAGTAAAAGACCAAAAGACAAACATCAGTACACAAAACACAACATAGAAAACTAAAGACAGAGCAAAACGAACCCCACCAAAAATTGGGGTAATCTCAGGTGCTCCGGAAGGTAAATGATGATACGTCTAATTCGGAAGGTCGCATTTGGGGAAAAAGGGGATGGGATTGTAGATACGACAATTGGAACATATCCGTCGTCATCTGTGAAACAGATATTCCATAACGGTCAACCAACTCGTGATGGCGTCCGTAAAATTTACGAAGGAATGATTTTAACTTCACCACTTGGAACTCTTGGTTTAATAGCTTCCTTGTGAGCAACAACCCTCTATCATGGAAATCATGATATGAAAGTATAGCCCTGTAATATCGTATTAACTTGGAGATTTATACTCCGTATACAGGCGCTGCTGGAATATTGCTACATAGAAATGAAAAGTTCACAATTTAGAAACTGAAATCATCTCTTTTGACGTAAAGTTTTCTTTTCAACCAAGTTTTATTGGATAGATGCGTGTAACAATAGTCACCAAAAATTGAATTGTTTAGTGAAACGACATCGTCTGTATAGCGGAAAGTGAAGTTTAAGGATAAAAGGATCTAAAAGATCTTTGCAATTTTTTAGTATCCACATCTGGTTTACGCCACCTCTAGAATAGGTACTTTAACAATAGAACAGTAGATTGTTTTCGAAAAAAGGTTTGAAAAATATTTATGTCTTTTTTTAAACTATATTCAACGTGAATACAATATCCCCTCTATTTTCGACCTCTGAAAACAGATGTTCACCCATATAGTTCAGTTTTACAAGTTTTAAAATAACAAGGTTTAATTAATTCAAAAGGAACCGGAAGCCTTTAAAATTCACTGAAGTTCTGAAAAATGTCTATAATCGAGAAAGGATTAATTATATTTTATCCGTATATGATTTGCAGCTCTTATTAGTAATGGCAGTGAAGTGATCATATTCTAAAGAAATTTTGTGGTTTTATTTGTGAAAAACTTGTCAACGATACCTGGCTTATAATTTATTGCGCCAAACGCGCGTTTTGTCTGCATGTGACTCGTCTATTGCGCTCGATTTAAAACAGTTGGAAGGCTTAATTAAAAAAAAAAAGACATGAAGCGCATTGGAAACCATAAGCTCTTAATTTGTCTCACTGATCGAGCACACAAACAAACATGTATCATAACATTCAACAATGGTCGCCCAAACTGTAGATATAATTATACTTTCCTAAGTAAAGTTTTTTTTTCTGAATGGTAGGTGGAGATTAAATTGTTTTAACTCAGTTGCAATGGTCCACTTCATTAATAAACTACAACCATTTCAGGGCTACAGTATACTAGATCAGTGTGGGTGAGATATTGAGGATGCTCATAATTTTTTTTTGTCAAAAATATACAATGATCTTTATTGGCTTTCCAAAAACTTTGTGTTAGATACAAAATTATAAACGTGCAAAATGTTTGTACTTTCGAATAAACAAAATATCCAAGTTTTCAAGTATGTTCCAGATTTTATTCAAAAAAGGTTAAACAGTGTCTTGTACCTCCATAAAGTGTTATTGATACTGACATTGACCATCATCATCGTCGATATCATCATGAAAAACCTAAGTCGTTATCACAAAAATTTCATTTCTCAATATTTGCTTTATTTTTAACTTCCTTTTTATTTTTTCGAATAGTTCGGATAATAACCAATGAATTGCTAGTTTCAAATGCATCTCATATAGTCATATATTTTTTTCAAATTGAATCATGGAGAAGATTCCATAAATATGTTTGAAATGTGTCTAATCCATTTTTCTTACATTTATCAAATGGGATATATTGAAACTAATCTAGGTACATGTTGTACCTATTTTGGTAAAGAGGTAGATCCTTTCATCTGAATACGTTTTATACTATTTTCATAAAAGTCCATCTAAAGAAGGAAGTATGATAAGAGCCATTATTTGGCCCCTGCAATTACAAAAATAGTAATATTACTAAAACCTTTAAAAATTGTATTTATTATATTGATAAATGAACAAATTTTAGTGCATGAAAGGTTACGTGTGATGTCACTGTGACGTCATACACATATTGAAATTGACATATTTGACCTAATGGTCATTAAACACATAATTTTGGGCAAAATAGACATCAGCAACAGCCCTAACCAAATAATACATTTTACGCACATTAATATCTTCGTAAAGTACATCCTGAAGCAAATTATCTTTTTGGGTAAAGCTGTTGAGCATATCTAAATATCTATGACAAGATCTCAAAATGAGGCTATTTCGACAGGTTACGCAGTTGTTCAATAAAATTCGAGTTTGAAGCCTTAATGTACATATTGAAAGTAAAAGTACTGATATCTGACATACGCCAATCTTATGAACATTTGAATGATATCATTTGGTAGATTTATAATACTTTTTTTTTATTTTTATTTTCAGGGGCCAAAAAAAAAGTGACTCTATATGACCTTTTCCTTTGCATTTTGTAGGTATGTACTTTGAGAATCTTAAACCAATATGGATTTTTTCTATTGATTGATTGATAAATTGTTTGTGTCAACCTCACTTTCAACACTATTGGCTATAGTGGCGATCTGTTGTTTTTTTGGTGGAGGACGTCAGAGGGTACGGAAAGAATCACCTACCTCTGGCAGGAAAACTGACAATCCTAGTCAATTAAGATTAGAGTCAAAAACTATACAGGAGAAAGTGACTCTGCCTGTATTGTGTTTTCGGTTGATGTATTATTGACATTAGTCTAACAATTTTCCTTATTCGTGTGTAAATATAACATTTGAATCTATGCCAAGTATATTTTGTTCTTCTTCGGACTCGATTTCAAAAGAGCAAAAATTAAAATTTCATTTTTCATCTGTTCATATTTGCTTTTCATTGATATTTGTAAATTATAGGGAATTATTTTTCAAATAGGTCCTTCGCACATTTTATTGTTCACGAACAATAATGCGAAGAGCAACAGTTGTGTCCTTGCTTGTACCAAGTCATAGAATATGACATTTGTTTTCCATTTGTTCCGTTGTTTGATATAGTCCAACATTTGATTTTGTAAGATTTTATGGACTTTCCACGTTTTTTTAATATACCTTGGAGGTCGTTTTTTTTTTTAGCTAGGAAACTATATCGGTGAGATCAAAAGAATTTCATTTATTTTGTTGTAAAAATCGATATAACCTATCATTTACACACGTTCAAACATAAAGTACATATAACATTCAAAATTGTATTAACAAAAGTGAGGTACAATATAAAAATGATTATACAAAAACTGTCATGAATTGGAACCAAGCACATTGTCTGCATTTATCTGTATTCACTTGGTCATTTTAATACCCACCCTGAAAAAAGAAAACATTCAAAATGCAAGAATATGAGAAAAGATACTTGACATTTCACAAATACTTATATATGGAAGTAGCATACTATTGTATTTATTATTGAACCCTCAGGTTTTCAATTGTAATCAGCGAAAATGTTTTCACCATTAGTGATAGCATTCAAAATTAAATGTACCGAGTTATCTACTGTATTGTATTGATTATTTATGTCAGGAACACTCCCTGCTAAAAATTTGGAAAGCCAAGCATGCATGTATTTATGGGAGGAATCTATAACCAAACTGAATTTATTTAACAGAAGGGTTATTTTCAACAGTATTTTAATCATTATCGGAATTTATAGGATCACATCTTATTATGTGTACATTCAGGTTGTAAAACATATAATGTGTCTTATTTCTTAACATATCATCCAATGCAAGGGCTTAGAATGACTCAAACTGCAATTTGCAAAGATATCGACAATTTCGAATAATCATCCAAAAATCCTTAACAAAAAAAAAATCTTTTGTTGGAGGTAAAGGAATATTTTGGGGTTTTTTTATATACGGTATAGAGACGTTCTTTCATGCACAAAAGCACGGAAAGATTGGCATATTTTATCAAATGTTTTTAACATTATAGTAATAGACTGAATAACATTTTTATTCTATGGACATATGGAAAACTGTTTCAAAATCATTTGAGTTTTTTACTCAAAATCTATAATATTTAAATTTAATAAGTTTCATCAACGTTCAAATTTTGACCCCTGAGTGATACATATTACAAGGATATTGGCCATTACTCTTTATCAACTGAGGAATCGTGACATTGCAACAACACTTATTACTTGAAGAATGGTAACCTCGAGTGACTAATAGTTCGCAAAAATATGGAATCGGCCCTGTTGTTGTTAATCAAAATCAAGTATACCAAATTTGATGTGTGTTTCAGGTCTTCGCATGTATTACCCGTCTTTTCCCTATATACTTTCAATGTAAGTATAACGTATTCACACATAAAGCTGGTTATACAGAGACCGCATTATTGTTGCAAAAAGAAGCAATTTCAAAATAAGATAATTCATTTTTCTACAAATACACTTACCTTTCGTTTTTTGTAACTTTTTCCGTACTTTGGTTTGGCATATCCGTATTTGTTTCCATACCTAGGTTTTTTGTTATAAGTATTTCCATATGTTTTAGGTTGAGCATATGATTGTTTAGAATAGCTTCGTGGTTTAGCATATGTTACACGGTAAGTACGTGGTTTTCCATATGGTTTAGGTGCTCCATAAGACAATCCATATGTTATTGGTTTGCCATAGGACTTTCCGTACTTAACTGGCCCATATGATTTCTTTGCGTAACTTGGTTTCCCATATGATTTTCTCGGCCGAGCGTATGTCTTTGCATAAGTGTTTTGTTTTTGGTACGATTTTACATACGTTCGTGGTTTATCATATTTCATCCCATACAATTTTGGTTTGGCATAAGTATTAGCATACGTTTTTGGTTTTTCGTATGATTTTCCGTAAGTTTTTGGTTTCTCGTAAGATTTTCCATACGATTTTGGTTTCTCATAAGATTTTCCATATGTTTTTTTATCATATGATTTACTATAAGATTTTTTATTTGGTGGATCTTGTGACAATGGAGCATTATCAGCTGGGAGCGGAATTGTATCAATTATATCAACAAATTGACCATTTGGATCAGGTGATAAAGATCCGGCCAAAGGATCAAGTGATAAAGGCCCGGCTAATGGATCGGAAGCGCAATGTTGCCCTTGACAACCTCCTGGAGGTTGACCCTGTCCGGGTTGACCCTGTCCCATTGATGGATCCAGTAACGGATCGACACAACCTTGTCCTTGGCATCCTGATTGACCTGGACTTTGACCAGCCGGTGAAGACTGTCCACGTGGATCTAACAGAGCTTCGAGTCCAGTCGGTTGTTGCCCAGCACCTTGTCCTAGTGCTGCATTTTTATCCATGGGGATGATAAGGTAAGCTTGCTGTTTACCTTGTCCTCCATTTCCAGGAAACAATTGAGATATGTCAATAGGAGAATTTCCTCCACCTCCATTTCCAGCACCACCTCCTGCAAATAATTGTTGTATGTCAACAGGGAGGTTTCCGAACTGGCCAGGATCAAGTGGAGAGGATCCTCCCATACCTCCTTGGCCACCTGGACCATTCATTGGGTCTGGATATGGTGACATCCCTTGTCCTCCGCCTCCGCCTCCGCTTCCGCCTCCGCCTCCGCCTCCTTGATTGCCGCCTTGACCTGATCCTGGATTACCGCCTTGACCAGCTCCTGGATTGCCACCATGACCTCCTCCTGGACCTAATCCGGTTATAATTTCAAATTGTGGACCACCTTGACCACCTTGTCCGCCTCCAGGGAGATATATTTCCTGTATCGGACCTCCTGGTCCTCCTCCTTGTGATCCTACTGGTAGATATGGTTCATAGAGAGGTAAATTTCCTGCGTTGCCTCCCCCGCCACCGCCTCCTGCACCTCCTTGACCTCCGAGCATCTCTAACATAGGACTACCCCCATTCACTAATGCCAACTCCGGTCCTTGGTATTGTGGATATAAAGGTTCGGCTTGTTGTTGTTGGCCGTTTACAGCAGTCAAAAAACACCCGAGTAATACGATGAACATCCTCATGGTGTAAGGAAGAGGAGCTGAAAAGGCAACAAATTGTATTAACTTTTATTAATAATATTCTCCTATACTTTGGTAAGGGTGTCATTTCGAAATTGTTTACTCATTTCGACTGTTAGATTCTTCCTAATAAATTCCACACAGACTTATTACTTATAACCTAAATAGTCTAACGGCTAATTCTAAATGACCCTGAAACTAAATGAAAAGTTTTGTGTTGTTAACTTAAATAAAAAAAAAACAACAAAGTTAACAAATAATACGACTAAAACCAGTCATATAAACCTAATGACATTTTAGCGACAGTTCTAGTTAAATCACAATAATTTCACAGCTCACCAAGTTAATAATAAAAGAAAATAACACTTGATTAGTTTCGTTTGTGTGAAGTGCTTTTCTTGAACTCTCAAACCAAACCCTTTGAAAGCCAAGGATTGGTGAGACCTACACACGTGAAGACTTATATGAACAAAAGGGACCTAACATAGCCAAATAAAAACGCGTTCATGAGTGTTAAAACGACTCTAGACAAAAAAGGTAATTACAAACCAATGAAAAAAAAATTAGGTCGAAGAAAGAGAGAATACCATGAGATCTAGTTGTGAAATTGTGGATTGTCCCCTAAAAAAACTTCTACCAAATTGTTCAAATCTATAACGTTTGATAGACAAAAGTAAAATAACAAAAATACCGAACTCCAAGGAATATTCAAATCGGAAAGTCCCTTATCATATGGCAAAATCAAAAGCTCAAACATATCAAACGAATGGAAAACAACTGTCATATTCCTGATTTGGTACATGCATTTCCTTATATAGAAAATGGTGGGTAGACCTGGTTTTATAGCTAGCTAAACCTCTCACTTGTATGACAGTCGCAGAAAATTCCACTATATTGAAAACAATGTGTGAACAAAACAAACAGACATAATAGGTTAAAAATGTCAAAATTAGGGGTACAGCAGTCAACATTGTGTTATAATCTTAGTCACTATAAAAAACAAACAAATATGTCAACAAAGAAAATCAAAATTGCATATAAAAAAGCACATAAGTATTAACGAATACAAAAAAATGACCACATTGGCGAGATGCATCAGTACCGAGCCACGCCAAAAGGATATTACCAAAAATGGACTAAACAGTAAAGGTTAATAATTTACAAAGACAAATAAAAGAACACTATAACACGTAATTAAGATGATAAACAAAGTCAGTACTTAGAATTTATACTTCAAGACCATCATGTATTATTTGTGAACTTTTGTAGAAAAAGGACGAGACGTTCTTTGACATAACCCTGGTTAATCAACTATCTGCTCAGACACTAATGACGTCTTGTAAAGTCTGGGTAGCAGCTGCAAGCTCTTGAATACCGAATGAGTTGAGAAATGTATATCCCATATTCAGGTGAAGTTATTACGTTTTATAGCTGATAATATGGGATGGGTTTTGCCTAATGTTGAAGTCCGTTTAATGAATGTCGGTTTTGATGCCTGATAGAGAAATTATTGTTTAGTTGGAAAGAGGTTCCGTGAAGACACAGCAATATAACGCTGTGAACGACTTAAATAGGAAAAAACATAAATAATTGAAACCAACACCGAAGTACAAATAGATAAAAAAAAAAAAAAAAAAAGATGTTGGTCTTCTGATATTTACAATTGATTAATTTAATTATCACTTCTTTATTCTATATGCTATTCTGAACCTGAGATATCAATTAATTTCAAGTATCCCATTAAATTCGTAGAGAATCAAATGAGGTATAAAACAGTACATTACCCCCCAAACAATTTCTACATAGAATTGTCAATTAAGAAATTAATGCGTGCATTTACTATTGCGATTTTTGAAGAATGGAAAAAACTGCGAGATTAATTATTGCGATTTCAGGTGAATCTGCATACAGATATACGTAGCGAATTCAGAATGCGACGAGTTCTTATTATTGCGATACTCACCAGTTCGCATTATTCGCATTAATGAAAATTTCGCAATAATTTCTAAATTTACAGTATAAATTGTCTTTTAAAGTAAATTCTTTCTTTGATTGATTATTAATTAACAAAATATGCATACTTACTCCTATGTGTTAATATCACCAATTGTACGATGATTACATTTTTTTGTTGTTTAAATACCTTTCCTCTTCATAAAGAAGGCTGTCAATCACTTCTGCTTTTATATTAAAATTTAATTGAATTAATTACAATTTCATCATTCAAATATGTAAAAATCTTGATTTAAATACACATGCATAATGTTTTAAATAAAAAATTACTATTTGATAGGATATGTGTCGCAAAATGATGAGCATTTAATTGCTACTATGTCATATTTCAATATCAAAACAGTTTTATCATCTTCCTAAGTATTTTATAACTTTTGAGGTGCAATTATCAAATTTGTGTTTTTGTCATTCAAAGAAATGGAATCTAATATGTTACTACTATATTGTGACGATATTGCTCGATTACTCTTTGAGGAAAACGATATATAATGATATTAACGGTACCAATTTTGCTGCATCAGAAACAGATTTCGACAATAAAGGTCTATTCAGTAATGCTGTAGGTCGAAACATTTGAAGAACCCAAACTTATACAAACGTTGAAGGGTTGATCTAACCAAAAAGGACCTAAAGTATAACTAAATCCGGACAAGGAATCAGAGCTTTGCATGAGGGATATATATTCCTTAATTTCAAATGATTTCCAAAATTTTATGTAAGCTAATTTTAAAACAAACAATTTCCGTATTTTCGTTTCGAAGTACTGGCTACTGGGCTGGCGATACCCTCGGGTATTATAAGTCCACCAGCAGAGATATCGCCTCAAGATATATTTTAATATTGATAGTACCAATTTTACTACACTAGATGCGCATTTCGACAATAAATGTCTCTTATTGATGATTGAGGTCATAATATAAGTAAATATTTGAAGGCCCAACACTTGTACAAACGTTGAGGAGCTGATAAAACCAAAAAGGACCTAAAGAATAGCCAGTTCCGGACAAGGAATCATATCTGCGTATTTAATTTCCAAAACAAATATATATTGTCTCGAATATATAATTAATTGATCAAACTACGCATTTATCTAGTATGCTTTGGGAACTGAAAGCCCGTTTAGAGAAAATGGTTAGACTTTTGTAATATAAGACTATTATCGTGCATTAGTAACGCGTAGGAATTATTTTGAAATGTCACATAAAATCAACAATAATGTTTTGTGAAGTAAAAAAAAAAGATTAACTGCTGATGAACTGATTAGGTAAACTGATTTCTTTTCCGTTTTCGTAGCTTCAACCTGTCCTTTTTGTCCCTTTTCGTGGCACTCTTCCACGTGATGATGGGTGTGAAATCGGTAACATTTGATTTGGTCTGTCGGTTGGTCTCTAGCTATATGAACGCAACATTCTTTATATATAATTAAAGTTGAACGTGGGTTAATAAGTAAACTATATATTAGAAGAAAATACCATCCCCTGGGTCGAATAAAGAACATATTGAAGCTACAATACATCCAACTGAATAATTTTTTAGAAAGATATATTTTTACTTTAATTATCCCGAAAAAAGATTATTGTTTTTTGTTCGTGTTCAGGCTTTTGTTTAATATAGTTGATACACTGTAGTTGGTATTATATCGTAAAGAGGTGCATGTTTGTGTTTAGTTTTGGTAGGTTTCTCGGGCAACTCACCGATGATGTTTGTGGCACATCGTTTTGTTTTCATCTAGGTGCGTTTTTGTTTGGATATTTAATTTTAACCTTAAGATATAGTAAAGGGTTATAGGAAACATAGTTTTAAATAAAAGTTCAATAGTATTCAACTGAATTGTCATTAAATAGAATAACAATGATACATTGTGATTTTCTGATAGTCGAGATAATTAACACACTTTCGAATAGCCAATACATTGCATGCATGTACTAGTATTTTGTACAGGTTGCATTATTTAATCTGTTAATTTACTATTATGTGTTCGAACTTAATGCCTTGCTCCAAAGAGTCAGCAGATCTAATTAGTTATTATGAATGAAGAACTTCGCATGTGATATTAATCATTCCAGCTTTCATTTTTATTTTTTGTTAATTCTAATTTAAATGCATAGGATAATAAAACCGTGGCAATTATTTCCGATATTATGAAGGCTTTTCAAATAAAATGACACATATCTGACGCGGAATACATGTAAGTTTGACCTATTTTAAAATTATTAATTCCGTAATAAACTGAATTACATCATTCGTGCAGGAAGTTTATTGTCAATAATAAGACTCTTTGTAAAACAATTCATTATCAGCTCGGTAGTAATTTATGAATTTTGTTCATCATTTTCGTCAATAATGACTTTAAGTTTTCCCACTACATACCAATCTTATATAACCCTCTTCCTCCCCCCCATCTTCCATGTTGATGTTCTTTATTCTGTATCCTAGCAATCCTCAAAATAGGGGAAGTATTAAGGGGGAAAGTACAATACCTAAAAAAATATACATTATATCCCTAATCGCAACAATTATTTTTTTACACTTATACTGCATAAACTGCGCAAAGAACTATTAAAATTGCATTAGATAATTAAATTAACAAATGTCAAATGACACAATAGTAGTCAGTTGTGGTATTTTTAACAGGATGTTTCTTACCACTTAATTTAAGTAAATAGTTTAATACATTTAATAAGATTGTTTTTCTTACCTACATTAACATAATCGAACTCAAATTAAACATTTGTATTGTGGCTTCCTTTTATCCTTGAGTGGTGCAATCGTGTGTAATTAAATTTCACATTCTATACATCATATGAAAATAAATTACATAAAAAGTACTATTACCAATAGCTATAGTACCTTAGGAGCCTAAATAGCTCGTCTGACAAAAATACGCCATGTTGAAATTAACGTAAAAGTAAGGATCAAAAGATAAGTACAAAATCTAACCAGTCTCATCCCATCCCCCGCAAAAAAAAATAAAATGAATCTAATTTAAACAGTCATCATAACATCAACGACCAATGGAATGATTTGTAGATATCAATTGGATTGCTTATCGATTCCACTGTTCAATTTTTTTCTTTATCGATTATTGTGTCTAAAGTAATATTGAGAAAGATAAAAGTTCATACATACATCAATAAAAGTCAATTTTTCCAATAGGAAATAATCTGACAAAGGATTTATATAGTAATTATAGAATAGTTATTTTAATGTGTTAAGTCGGAATCTAGGGATATAAACTGATGAAACCAATTCGTCAAATAATACTTGAATAATCATTCAAAAGACGAACAACGGTCCCATTTGTGTAAACTGCAATCGTGATCGATAATAAATCAATATCGTTTCTGGCTTTCTAATATTGTCAGTATGATACTAGTTTTTGGATGTTGGACTATCTACCGTCTTTAGAATTAGGGACAGTGTTAAACAACTTAGTAGTTTGACAATTAGAAAATTAATAATGAACTAAACGATCGTAGATGAAAAGGTATAAAGAAAAATAGTGTCTTATGATATATTGTCCGGCAAGACAATATTTCATGATTATTTATCATTATACTTTGTTCCCATTTATGAAAAATGTCCAGAAAAGGACAAGATTCCAAATGACTTTTTTTTATTTTGTCTTCTTAATGGGGGGTTATCCAAAGTTATATTGTGTGTATCTTGAGACAATATTTCATAGATGGAGTGTCTCTCATGAAAGGGAGGTTAGAAAAATTGATAGTTTAAACAATGATAACATTAAATATTTTATTTTATTAGTAATAACAAACATACATTATAAATGATTGGCGGTACTTTATTTAAAGTTAAAACAGTGTAATATGGTACGTTAAACATCTTTGTTTGATATATAGAAAACGTGCCGTACAAAATGTTTTCATTTATAAATTTAAAATTGTTTAAACTTGTGTACTTTAGTTGAGAATTATTTGATACAGTGTTTCACGGTTATTCTTTTTAGTCATAGAGCTCTTCAACTGTTTCGGTTCTCATCGTTCCTAAGCTTTTAAATATTCGGCTTTGAGCGTTCCTGATGAAGGTAAATCCAGAAATGTGCATCGGACGAATGAAAATTATAACGAAAGATTTCAGAAACTTCAGAAACACTCTCACAATTTTATGGCAAATGATTCCTCAGGGAAGACATACTTTGATAAAGAAATATTGTCATGGACAGAACTTCGCAGTGAATTATTTTCAAGGACAGTGAAATGTTGTCCCGAAGAACAGGTTGGGATATTATACCTCAAATGCAATATAATTTTACTGTACAAGAAAGTTTTTTTTTATTCAAGAGAAAATATTGTAAAATGCAAATGATTACATAAAAGGCAACAACTTTCGGTTAGCAACTTTTCTGAAAACCGGATTTTGTATGAGTTTGATCCATTTGAATTTACTGAAAAAAATTAAATAACAAAAATACCGAACTCCAAGGAAAGTCCATAACGGAAAGTCTTTTATCAAATGGCAAATTCAAAAGCTCAAACACATCAAACGAATTGAAAACAACTATCATATTCCTGACTTGGTACAGGCATTTCCTTATGTAGAAAATGGTGGATTAAACCTGGTTTTTACCTAGCTAAACCTATCACTTGTATGGCAGGCGCAAAGAATTCCATTATATTGACAAAAATGTGTGAGCAAAACAAACAGACATAATAGGTGATATTCAGAGGGATTAATCTAGCAACTTCATTTTCTGGAAAAGTCGCTGACCAAAAGTTGCTACTCTTGACTCAAACAAATGCACTTTTCAATATGTTTGCTAAATTCAAAAAGAATGATTGTTTGCACTGAAAATTTATATCCCATTTGGGCTACAAAAATCTAAATGGGTTATTATGACTCATTTGGGTGAAATAATCCCCAACCTGAAGAGCTTGACAAAATTTAATAGATAGGGATACTATTTCATAATGAAATATTGTCCTGGGTTGTATTTATTATAAACAAACAAGTATGCAGACAATGATTTGTTTGAATTTGAATCATGGGTGATATCAATTTATGCTACACAAGTGCCACAACGACTGAACTGAAAGTTGCTACTTAATATCAGACATTCTTGCTATTTATTGGCTTCTTAAAATCACAAGAAATCTAAACAAAAAAGTTCGTTTGTTG